CAACAGATTTGAGATTGAAACACAAAAATAGCTCAACTCTGGGGCAGACAGCAGAGTCAGGGGAAAGTCTAAGGAAGTTCTGGGGAAAGGGTCAGGAGGCCCCTCCCTGCTTCATTCACGCCCCAAACATCTATTAAACATTCCATGTGTACTTGGTGTTTCTGGCCTGAGGATGACTCACAGAGGCTGACACACTAAGTTAATCACAGGAAGCACAGAAGAAAAAAAAAAAAAAAAGAAAAAACAGGCCTAATGCAATGGAATGCCTGACTGAGGGGGTTCTTCACAGTGCTTTGGAGACGACCCTTTGTGTCTCATTGAAATTCATCTCTCAAGAAACACTCCTCAAATGTTTACACATTGTCAGGCACTTTGAGCTGCAGGGACACAGAGGACTCAGTTCTGGTCCCTGCCTTTGGAATTCACAATTGTTGCTCTTCCAAAGAACTGGGGTTCGGCTCTCAGCACCCACTTAAGGAGGCCCATGACCATTTGTAACTTCAGCTCAACCGCTTCCACAAGTACCCACACACATGTCTGTCCCCCAAACACACCTATATTCTTCATGCTAACCTTGTGACACTATGAGCAAAATCAAAGACATTAAGAAGCCAGGTTCAGTGCCCTGTGCCTTAGTCCTAACATTTGAGAGGCTAAATCAAACAGGAATTGAGGCCACTTGGACAGCATCAAGAGAAATTATCTTTGAACATATGAAATGATATTATCACAGAAATAGAATTGCAATTTAAACCAGGTATGTGATCCCCTCTCCCCCCACCAAAAGAAAAAAAAATAGAGGGCTGGAGAAATGGCTCAGTGGTAAAGAGCACCTGCTGTTCTTGCAAAGGATCTAGATTGTTTTGTTTTGTTGAGACAGAGCCACACTATGTAACTCTGGCTGTCCTGGAATTCACTATGTAGATCAGGCTAGCTGGTATGTATGTCTGTCCACAAATGCATGCCTGGTGTTAGAGGCTTCCAGAAGTGTGTGTCAGACCCTCTGGAACTGGAGTTATAGGTGGTTGTGAGCTGCCATGTGGGTGATGTAATTGTACTTGGGCCCTTTGCAAGAGCAACCAGTGCCCTTAACCCCTGATACTTGCTTTTAAGGAATTTGCATTTTTGTTTTGAAATTACATGTTGGAAAAGTTTTCCACATCAGTAAGAAATGCCATCCTTACTATTTCTTCCTGCAGCTTCTCAGAAATATTTTTTAATCTTTTTTTTTAAGATTTTATTTATTTATTTATTATGTACACAACATTCTGCTTCATGTATATCTGCACACCAGAAGAGGGCACCAGATCTCATTAAAGGTGGTTGTGAGCCACTATGTGGTTGCTGGGAATTGAACTCAGGACCTCTAGAAGAGTAGTCAGTGCTCTTAACCTCTGAGCTATCTCTCCAGCCCCTCAGAAATATTTTAATTCAAAAATCTTTCTTAGCCAGCTCTCAAGCCACTGGATTACTTCTTGCTTCTGCTACTGACATAGACTTCATCTTGATTCACTCCATACAGCAACTAGATGTGTGTATATAAATGACAGATAGATCATAGATGGATGGATGGATGGATAGATAGATAGATAGATGATAGATAGATAGATAATCTCACTTGCTACCTAGGCTGACCTCAAACTCATGCCTCAGTTTCCTAAGTGATGTGATTACGGGCATACACTATTATGCCTAGCATAACCATTTGTTTGCCTTAAAATTTTTTAAGATTAATTTTTTATTATGTATACAGTATTGTGCCTGCAGGCCAGAAGAGGGAATCAGATCTCATTACAGATGGTTGTCAGCCACCATGTGGTTGCTGGAACTTGAACTCAGGACCTCTGGAAGAACAGCCAGTGCTTTTAGCCTCTGAGCCATCTCTCCAGCCCCCAGCCT